CATGCCTGTAGTCCCAGCTACTCGGGAGGCTGAGGCAGAATGATTGCTTGAGCCCAGGCGTGTGAGGTTGCTGTGAGCTAGGCTGACGCCACAGCACTCACTCTAGCCCAGGCAAGAGTGAGACTCTGTCTCAAAAAAAAAAAAAAAAAAAAAAATGAACGTTCTGTCAGCGCCAATTTAGGAGGTCAATATAGCCCAAAAACCAGCAAGAAAACCTGGCTATAAATTTCTCTAAGGCTCTGAGGGCAAATCTGAGCTGTCAATAACCTATACTTTTGCCAGTGCTGAAGAGAAAGGTTAAACCCTGCTTACTTTGCGCCTCTTCACTTGGATTCTCTCGAGCCTTCAGGAGCTCCTCAAATTCCACTGACATTGGCACACAGATCTGAGGGAAAAAGAAAAGCTCAGGAGGATTTTTCAATGTAAAAGTGGCAATATCATAGAAATGAGGTGTACAGAAAGTTGGACTTCTGATGCTTTATTTGGCCTTGATTTTTCACTAGGAGCCTATTACTGTTCTCCAATTACTGGGTTTTCCCTTTATGTACTGACTAAAAACTGCTGAAATAACACATGCTCACAAAACCTCAAATAATACAAAAAGAAAAAATGAAAAGTGAAAATCTCCCTTTATTAATTCTCCTGAAAATAGATTTTTTTCTATGTCAGAGAATTCCCAAACTTTGAGAATTACCTGTGGTAGTGTCCAAATATCCTGATGCACCTGATACCAATTAAATCAAAGTGGGGCAGATTCCAGCACTTTTTAAAGATCCCCAGGTAACTCAAATATGCTGCAAAGTTTGGAAACTACTTCTCTATGGGTTGTTTTTTTTTTTTTTTGAGATGGGGTCTCGCTGTGTTGTCCAGGCTGGTCTCAAATACCTGGGCTCAAGCAAGCCTCCCACCTCAGCTTCCTGAGCAGCTGGGATTACAGGTGTGAACCATTGTGCCCAGCAATTCTATGTATTTAAAGACATGTATTTGTACAAGTACATTCATGCCTGCACAAGTTTTTGTTTTTTACATAAACAGACTTGCTTTTTTCACTTAGTGTATGTTGGCCATCCTTGTAATCAGTTATTTAACTATTCCTCATTATCTTTCGACCATGGCTGGAACAAGGTTAACACACCAGAACAGTACTCCTGTCTTCTCTCCTGGTTAATAGAAAACCTCATACTCTATCCTCCAAGGGGGGTGGGTGTGGGTGTGTGAGGGTACCTTCATCTACCTCCACACTACATACTTTAATAAACAGCCTCTACTTTCTGGGTTTTTTAGCCTCTTTCTTTTTCTATCAGCTTCTTCAAATATCTCCCCTATGTTCCTTAAGACCTCTTCTTTTGCGCTTCTTTTCCTGCCAGCCTTTCAAATGCATGTTCCACACTCTATACTTCTACTTCCCCATTACCCACCTTTACCTGTGACCAGATTTCCATTCCCATTACTTCAATGAAACGGCAATCACCAATCAACAACAGTTGGTACCATGACTTTCTGAAACTCTTTTGCTTAGCTTCAGTAAGACAACACTATCTGGAGCTGTCATTTGACCTTTCTGACGGAAGTCTTCCCAGGCCCCTTTGCCGTTAACTACCTCCTGTAAGTGAGCCCCACAAAGCACACAGAGAAGCTCTGCCAGTCTGCCTTCACTTTCTCTCTCTCCCAGAACTCAAGGATTCATGGCTCAACTATCAAGTCCACTGTGACAGTTCCCAAATCTAAATTACAAACCTTTACTTTTCGCATGGAGGTAACTAACTCCAACTACTTATGGGTCGCTTCTATTCAGATGTAACAGTACCTAAAAATCTACATATGTAAAAACTCATTTTCCACTGCAAATGGGTTACCTCCTTCTTCCTTATTTCTACCAAAGAACAAAGAACTTTTCACCTACACAGTCATGAAAGCTCAGAGTAATCTCTCACTCATCCTTCTCCACCCTCCCTGCAGAGATGTCTTACTCCTTATAATCGTACAGTGTATCAGGGTGGACATTCATTGTCACAAAATATGACAGAATTATAAAGAAAGATTAATTCTGGGGGGTAGTTTAGGAAAGATAATTCATGAAAGAGGAAAGAGTTGGTCTCTGGGCTGAATCCCGAAGGTGTAACGAACTTTCGAAGTGTGTAAAGTATTTTTGTGTTAGTTGGATCCTCTAAGTAGAAGATTTCAAGACAGAGTTAGGAGTACAAACTTATTGGGAAAACAATCCAGTGAAAGATAAAGAGGAGAAAGCAGGATTGGAAAGGGAGAGCTCAGACCACAATGTGGACTGGACAAAATCTGGACCACCCAATGAGGAGCTCTGAAGCAAATATTAGTCGTCAGAGGAGTCCCACACTGGGCAGAAACAGTTATGAAATAGTACCCACCTGTACTCAGTCACTGGCTGGGAGCTGCCCAGGAAGAGTGTGGCTTGGCTTAAAAGCTGAGGGGGAATCCTGAAAACACTATGGTTAAAGGATGTCTGCTAACTATGCCCCAGGCAGCTAAATGGCAAGTTCTTTCTTGAAGGGATATCTGAGTGGCACACCTTGATTTTCCTTACTTTAGATGCTCTTTGGATAGGTTAGGAGAAAATACTTTTCTGAAGCCATACCTCATTTGGGTGCTTCCGGTGGAATTCCTTTATTTGCTTGAGTCTATTATAGAATTCAGCAAACTCATTGGGTCCTGAAATAGCATTGAGCTCCTCCTTTCGTAACCTGTGATTTCAAGAAAAATCCAAAGAACACAGAACACATTGTCAGTCCTTTAACCATGGCTCCTCAGAAGCACTAACTCTCCTAGATCAGCTGTGACTGTCACTTACCCATCTTTATCGTCATACAAATCCCTCAGGTTCCCACTGACCTCCATATACCTCTGAAAGGCAAACACGAATCATCAGAATGAAGTGATTTTTACAAGTGTAGAGCTAAGCAACCAACAAGGACTCTAGTCAAAGCCCAGGGCAACCTCAACAGATATGGCTTTAAAAGTTCCTGTGTTTTCTAGTACCTTTAACAGATAGCCCTGGTTCCCGGTTAGTTTTTAAAACAGGCTGATCTGAAGACTACCTAAGTGATATGATTTGAGGGGTGGCAGGGAGCTTCTATCTTTACATACTACTAATGCCTAGCTTTTCCTATAAGAGACCTATCCCCTTTGTCTAAACGGAAGTTTCCATCTAAGACCCTCAAAGATAAAGATGATTTTCACTATTTCAAAAAGCTAGATCGAGGAGTAAACAGATTAAATAAAGATCACATAGCTTCTTTTGGAGTCAAAGTGTATTAATTCTGGACGGTACAGGTCCACAGGCCCTTCTCCAAGACTTCTGGAACTAGGTTTGTTTCAGAATTTGAATTTTTAAGTTCAGGAAGGTACCATATATTATATAACGTCCCTAGTGGAATCTGGAGCACACGTTAATAGTTCTGCAGTAAACCTTATGCGTTATTTACTAAGAGGGATAAATAAAGACCATAGAAAGCTTTTAATAGCTTCAGGCCAGCTTTTGCTGCCAAATGAAATAGGGTCAGATTTTGCCACCAAATAATTAAACAAACAACTCCTTAGCTTTCAGAGTATTTGTGGGCTTTGGGCTTATGATATGATTACCTCTGATTACGTCTTTTATTCCTTTCTAAACATATTTCAAACATATGCAAGAGTACATAAAATAGTATAATGAACCTCCATTTACTCATCACTCAGCTTTAATAATTATTAACATTTTGGTTTCGAAGAGTTTTTTTTTAAAAGAAACTGGATTATTACCAGGCAAATGCAGTTTAGTAGTCAAAAGTACTTCAAAACGGTCTCCTGGGAGGAAAACACTAATATAGAGCATTCTCTTTTTTTGAGGGATGGGATTATACCTTCTGTGCCTGAGTCACGGACTTCTAAAATTATTCTTTGCACATTCAAAGGATACAGGATGCTATAAAAAGGGGCATCTTCCCAAGTAATGGAGAATGAATAAGAGTTCCCCTTCAAAGAGGTAAGGAAAGGCAGTTCAGCACCCTAAGGTTCGGCAGTTGCTTGGACATCTGTTCAGGCAGATAATTCACGACTGGCCAATCCGTTACCTTTGGCCAGGGCTCACGCTGAGATCCCACACCTCACTTCCCCTCTGTTTTCGCGCCCTCCCGGACCCAAAGAGAAGCAGATAGCGGGGCACTCACATCCTGCATGGCCCGAGTGCGGTGGTCAGAATTGATCTGGTCCCGGAGCTGAAGAAAGGCAAACAGTGACACGGGCGCCGTTAGTTTGAGTTCTGGAGTCGGAAAGGCCGCCCGAGGGCGGAGCTTACTCGCTCAGATTTTAGCGGCTGAAGCAGAGGCCTCTGGGACGCTGGGCCCCAGGAGGAGGTTACTAAGGCCGGAGGGGGAGGCTCGGAGAGGGAGCCCCGGGAGGAGGCAGGGGGCGGGGCGCAGGAAGGGTCTCAGGGCCAAAGAAAGCTCTCAGAGGTTAAACACAATAGGGGCCCAGCCTCAGATGTAGCCCCTGCCCAGTCCACTCACCGTGGACTTCTTTGTGAGCATCTCTTTGGCCATGACGTCCATAAGCCGTTCCTTCTCCTCATGATAGCGCCGCTGCTGCTCCAGAATTGTCTCCATTTTCCGTTTGCCGCGACACCCCAACCCAGACCAAGAAGAAGGCCGGAAACAACTCCTGCCGCCCTGCGCGCCTGCGTCCCCACGCTACGCGTCCGGCGGCACCAAAGTTCCGCGAGTACCGGAAGTGCCTCAGGGACTAGAAGAAAAATGAGCACCACAAAGAGATCCAGTCTACACTATCGAGAGGGCAACAGTGCCCCCTGCTGGTCGGAGGTGTGGTGGCGCGATGCCGAGCGGTTTGCAGCTGCCTCTAGGGGGCATAGAAAAATCCAGGAACTGAGGTTAGTGGTAGGCTTCTTGGGGCAGGGACCACGTGGACTGCGGGTCAGTCGAAGAGTTGGATGGGAGACGGGAAACTGGAACTGGAGTCTGTAGCTTTCAGTATGACCCATGACGTTTTCCCCTTCTCTGGACCTCAGTGTCAGTGTGTTTCTCAGTAAAATGGGGATGATAGTGGGGTTTTTTTTTTTTTTGAAGAGATTCACATGTGGAAACAACCTGATTGTCTATCAGCAAGAGGGCTAGTTAAATAACATATGGTACATCCAAGCAGTGAAATGCTATACAGACTTAAAAAAATGAAGTTTGTATGTCCACTTTTAAGTAGAGAAATGAAAACATGACCATATGTTCATACGTTCATAGCGGCATTATTCGTATTTGACAAAAACTGGATGCAACCCAAGCCCATGAATTAATTGGTGAATGGATAAACAAAATGTGGTATATCTATATAGTACAATGGAATATTACTCAGCAATAAAGAAATACTACAATATGCAACTTATATACCCATAATAATTAAAAATAAAAAAAGTTTAAAATAAAATTTAAAAAAAAGGAATACTACAGGGACGAACCATGAAAACATTATGCTAAGTGAAAGAAGCCAGACAGGAAAATGACAATATATGTCCAGAAGAAATGCCCAAAAAGACAAATCTATGGAGAGAGAAAGTAGATGAGTGGTTGTGACTAGAGGTGAGGTTGCAAGTGACTACAAATGCACCCAAGGAATCCCTTTTGAGGTGACAGAAATGTTCTAAAATTGGATTGTGGTGATAGTTGCACAACTCTATTAAATTTGCTAAAATTAATTGAATTGTACACTTAAAGTGTGTGAATTTTATGGTATGTAAATTATACCTCAATAAAACTGTTAAAAAATCTGTATGAGCTCATATGGAAAGATGGCACACAAACTGAAAAAAGCTAGATGCACAACAGTGTGTATAAAAATAGATGTGCAAAGAGATTATTTCTGTAAGGATATCCAAGTACCAGTAAACAGTGGTTGTTCCTGAGGAGACAGCTTGGAGATCTGGTATGGGTGGGAGATTTTTCTTTGCATATGCCCAAAGCATAGCATGGAAAAATTTTAAAAATATATACGTGTATTACTTTTTCAATTTAAAAATAAATTTAGGCTTGGCACAGTGGCTCACGCCCATAATCCCAGCACTTTGGAAGGCCAAGGCAGGAGAATCACTTGAGGCCAGGAGTTCAAGACCAGCCCGAGCAACCTAGTGACATCTCATCTCTACAAAAAATTTTAAAAATAGCCTGGTGTGGCAGGTGCCTCTGTAGTCCTAGCTACTCCTAGCAACTTGGGAGGCTGAAGCAGGAGGATTGCTTGAGCCTGGGAGTTCGAGGCTGCAGCCTGGGTGACAGAGTGAGACCCTGTCTCTAAAAAAAAAAATAATAAAAATAAAACTCAAAATGAAAATACATATATACACATTCATGTTTAACAAAGAAGAATAAGGAGGATATAAACCTCAAGGAGTTAATAGTAATTTACCTTTTGTTCTTTACTTTTTGGAATTCTCCAATTTTTCTTACAGTAAGTATGCATTACTTTTTGTTTTTAAATTTGAAAAACAGGCCACACTTGGTAGCTCATGCCTGTAATCCTAGCACTCTGGGAGACTGAGGTGGGAGGATTGCTTGAGGCCAGGAGCTCGAGATCAGCCTGAGCAAGAGCCAGACCTCGTCTTTACAGAAAATAAGAAAAATTAGCTAGGCGTGGTGGTGTGTGCCTTAGTCCCAGTTACTGTGGAGGCTGAGGCAGCAGAATCGCTTGAGCCCAGGAGTTTGAGGTTGCAGTGAGCTACGATGATGCCACTGTAGTCTGGACAACAGAGCAAGACTGTCTCAAAAAAAAAAAAAAAGTTAAAAAAATCAAATAGAAATAATGACCTGTATTTTGCCTACTCATGGAGTGTTGTGAGGATTATATTTGTATATGGAAATCTAAGCAAGACCTCCAACCTATGGGAAAGGACCCTAGTCAAAACTCATCTGGGCCTTTTCCTGGGCCACTAGGAAAGAGGTAAGTTAAGAAATCTCCTCCAGCACCATGGCTCACGCCTGTAATCCCAGCCTGAGCAACCAAGTAAGACCCTGTCTCTAAAAAAAAAAAAAAAAAATGGAGACTCAGTGAATGTTTTTTTGTTTGTTTATTTGTTTGTTTTGGTAAGATTTGGGAGCTCCTGTACTCCATATTTCACCAAATATGAGATGCCAACAATTGTAAAATCACTATTATTTTATGCTTTACCAAGAGAGAAAAAATAGTTAAACTGTGACACACCTTCAATTACACATTTGGGTTTCTGAGATGTTAAGTCTGAGAAAATGTTTATATTGAAATAACTGAAACACAGTATAGTGGCTGCACGTTTCTTCTTCTTAGGTGAGGAGACAACCTTACCAACACTATTCTCCTTGTCACTGTGTCTCAAACCTGAAGACTTCCTTCCCCTAAACGGTTCTCCATCCTCACTCTGTGGAACCAGTCAGCAAGTCCTGTCTTTGCTGCTGCTGCTGCTGCTACCTGCCTCTTGATCACCCCCCTGGACCACTGCACTAGCCTCCTAACCAGCCTGCTAGTTTTACATGCCTCCAATCCATTATTCATGCCGCAGCCAGTGTGATCTTTCTAAAACTCTGCTCTTCTAACACCCCTGCTTCAACATTTCCCTTGGCCGCTCTACCCACAGGGTGAGGTCTGTTTTAGCATTTGGCTTTTCACGACCTGGGCTCTGCCTGTCGTGTTAGTCTCTTGGCACTTCCTCCAGATGAAATTACTTGCTGCTTCCCCCAAGCACCATATGTTTTCAGGCCTCCCGGCCTTTGCATCAGCTGTTTTCTACGCTTGGACTGCTCTTCCTTAGCAAGCATTTATTGAACCTGTAGTAGGTGTCTGGAGCTGAGGAGGGGTGGGCAAGGCAGGCCCCAGCCCAATTCTCAGAGAGGCTGATGGGAGATAGAAACAAACAAAAACTTAAGCATCTACGGTAATTATTATTTATAAATACACACGGTGGACATTCGTAAAGATTTACCGAAAATGTCAACCACGGCCTCAGAAAGTTTAGAACTAGACTTGGGCCCGGGAGGCAGTGTAAAGCGGATCGGAATCCCGGATCTACTAGTGACTTTGGGCAACTGACTTCGGGAATCTTCACTTCCGTGTAATGGCAGTGAAAATGCCCGCCCCATAAGACTTCGGCAGGATTTAACATGAGATACATATAATCACGCGGTTTCCGCGGGCCGAGGAGCCCCTCCCGCTCCGGGCGCCGGCGCGCACGTACCTGCCCCGCCAGCCAGCCGACCGCGGGCCCAGACCGCAGCCGCTGGGGACAGGGGCAGGGGGCGTCAGACGCCGAGAGAGGGGAGCATCGCCCCGCCCCATCGCCCCACTTTGGGGGACAGCCCCCCTCGCTCATTGCCGCCCCCGCCCTTGAATCACGGGGGGCGGGGCCATGACCCATTCATGCCGGGAATCGGATCCAGATGTTCCCGGGCGCGTGCAGCTGCATCCTTGCCTTTTTTGGCAAAAAACGTGCGGCCGCGAGCGGATCCCGGGCCGCCCCCGCTAATCCTCGGGAAGAGGGGGAAGGGGGCTGAGGGTCTGGGCCCAGACTGGGGATCCGAACTAGGTGCTTGCTCTTCGGGATTTGGGCGGGCTGTTAGGGGAGGGTGTGATTTGTACAAGGCGATGGAACCCTGCTGTCACTCCTGCTCCTGTCTGGAACTTCCCCTCAACCTCTCCCTTCCCCACACGAAGGAAAAAGCCCTCTGCCAGCAGGGGCGAAGCAGGCCATGAGGGACAGTAGCTGTGGCGGGGATCCCTTTCCTGGGGAGAGACTTCCCACCCAGTGGCCAGTCCCCCTTCACCCCACCCTGCAGGGAGGATGTCTAGAATAGGCTCAGAGTCTCCCAGTCTGTGAAGGAACCTTCCTTCCCCCTCTACAGCCTGGACACACACACACAGGCCTGTACTTCCTCACTCTGCTTTATTGAAGAATCTGGAAGAGGGGCAAGCCAATCCCACCCCTCTGCCCATCTCTGGGCAAAATGGAGCTGAAATAAAACAAGACACTCGACGGACAGGGGCTGGGCAACAACCTGTACCCTAAGACCCCTTATCAAGCCCCTGACCTGCTGCTCGAACAGCCCCAGCCCCGGGGCTAGGGATGGGATAGGGATGGCTCAAGCCTGAGCATAGTCCACTCATGAGGACCTCTCAGGCACCCTCAGGACACCTAAAATCTATCAAAAGAAGTCTAGATTTAAGGGGATGTAGGTCCAATAGTCCAGATTTGGAGGGCTGGGGTCTAGAGCCCTGATCTGGGGAGAGGGCCTGGCCTGGGACCCAGATTGCAAGGGAGAGGGCTGAGTTCTGGAGTCCATGTTTAGGGAGGAGGCTTGAGTCATGGAAGCTCTACAAGAGCCCAGGCTTGGGGGCCTGGGTCAGGGAGTACCAGTTTGGGGATGCTGGAGTGGGGAGACTGAATCCTGGAGCCCAGGGGGAGACCCGTTGTGGGGAGGGGCTGGGTCCGACCAGTGGTTTAGAAAAGGAGCTGTGGTCCTGGAGCCCTGGTGTGGGAAAGCCTGGGCCCAGGAGCCCTGGCTCAGGGTCCTGCCTGGCTGCAGCCCTGGCACAGCACTTGGTCTCCGTCCGGCACAAAGCCTAGGCCCACCAGGGATGTGGAGCAGCGGGCACAGGAGAAGCAGCTGTGGTGCCAGTGTCGGTCTTCAAAGGACACGTACTTGCCTCCACCAAGTCCTGGAGGGAGGCTGGAGGTTAGCTCTGCATATCTGGGGGTGGTCCTGCCCCCACCCAATACATCCCACTC